ACATGCAGTGGTGCCTGAGAGGCACCGCTCGAGTGCAATGGTTAAAAATAAATAGATAAACTTCACAAGTTTTTTAAAATTAGTTCTTGGATACACATACATACCTATAAATCAACATCTATGTATATGTACATGTGATCATATAAAAGGTAAATGTAATCATTTTTAAGTATAAATCATATAAAATAAACTTTTAACATACCCTGAGCAGTCTTCAGTGTGACGTAATTACAGTGCCTTAAATGTAACAGTAAATGAAACTTAAATTAGGAATTATAACAAATCATTCCATAGAAATATGCTATGTTTGTATTAATCTAATAACCATCAACTATTCATGAATATTGTAGTATGCATGCCAGGTAACATTTGTCAGTAGTACAGAGGTCATTTATTTAAAGGAGATAATTTCGATAAGAGTGCCTTTTGTTTTAGCATAGTTTTTCTCTTGTTACTTTTGAGCTAAGCATATAATTTGAAATAATTTTTCTTTCTCCAGCCTTCACGTATTTATTTCTTAAAATATATACTCTGAAGTCATAGTGATATTTTTACCTATTTTCACGTATTCTATTTTTTTTATTCAGAGAAATAAGAAATAGATTACATTAAGAAAGAATTTTTTATGTATATAATATATTAAAGTTAAAATTTGACAGTCTAATAAATATTTTATTTTAACTTTCCGAAAATTTCAGTTTCTTTAGATAATTAAATACAGAATTTCTTCCAGCCTTAAGGTAATAATATTTTAGAATAATCGGTTGTAATATATTCGTGTTGGTTGTAAGAAATTATTTTATTCTTCTTTCAGCACTCTCGTGGTGTAAATGGTAGCAGATCGGACTATCACTCGTGGCGTAAGTGATAGTATTTGGAAGGCTTGCGGTTCGTATTCCTGCGAGAGTATAGGGGATTTTTCCCATTTTCTCCTCCGAAAAATTTAATGTCTCTATTGGCACCCGAATAAAATGTGATAAATGATAATTCGTCAATACATGAATTAGGCCGACAGGGTCTCGTGCTACTTCTCACTCGCCCTTTAAGTGAAAAAAACAATAAGGATTTTTTAAATTCATATCATCTTGCTATAAATGGATGCCTTTCCAAGCAGCATTTGGAAGACCTCGTTGTTAGAATCATAACGAGGGCACTGATGAAATTCCACATTTGTTGCTTTTGAAGAAACCTTATGTCTCTGCATGGCATCTTCCTGTTTGTGCAGCTTTCAAAATTATTCCGCCTTTCTCAAATTTACTTTTTCAGGTACTGCTTTTCCATTACGGAAATGTTGGTAAGTGAAATAATCCAAATTTCTGTTTACTTTCTTAAGATTGTGTGTCAGCAGAAAAACGCGTTGTTGCATTTAAAATTGGTTTAAATGCTGATCATGTATTTGATTGTTTAATTAATTCTATTTTTCGCTTTTCTTTCTTAAAAGTTTTATCTTTCTTCCAATTATTTATTTATTACATTTTAATCTAATAGCCTTTCAAATACTAAAGCGATAAAAAAGGTTCTTTGATTTCGAGCTAAAAAAACTCTTTCATTGTGCCATGTATTCTTTCAATTTTTTTTTTTTTTTCACTAGGATTTATTTTTTCCTTTTACCTTCTTATTACATATGATTGTACAGGATGAATCTGAAGAAGTGGGCAAAACTTAACGGGGTGATAGAACGCAGCTATACAAGCGACAGCCATCATAGAAAGGTTGGCTGTATACAAACGGCGAGCCATTAGGTGGCATTGTAAATGATGGTCCTCACACCTAGCTGCATTTCCTATCATGGATTGCAAAAAGAATGGCTTGTTATACTAGCTACGAAATGGTGGATATACACTTAGTGTACGGTGCGGCGAACGGGAATGTGAGTGAGGCATAGGCTTTACCGGGGCCGATTTCCTACGAGACGCACTCCACATCGGAAAACATTCCAGCGTTTGCATCCTCTAGGACCATTTGATTCGAATATACCTCTTGCCACAGCGTCTGGCCGGCGAATCGTATCACACATTCCTACGAGAGGTGTTGCCAGAGCGTCCAATCCCGACCGCCATCAGGTTGAGAATGTGATTCCAGCACGATAGTGCGCCTGCATCCTTCAGCTTGAAAACTTCAGATGCACGGTGATGGATTGGTCGAGGTGGTCCCACAGCTTGACCACCAAGATTCAATTTTCCAGAATTCACGAGGATGAAGATAAGTTCCGATATCTGATTCAGGCGATTACTCCTGGTTCTCGAACTGCCAGTTTAATAGACAGTCCCCCCCCCCGTACGGCTCAGAATTACCCCAAAGCGATTGAATTATTCAAAGAATTGGCAGAGAAGATTTATTAATACATGTTCGTGAATTACTCTCAATGGTAATGAAAAATGCCGTAAGTGGTAGGAAATGTACAGATTTTAATTACTTTATACAATCAACTGGAATCACATTTAAGAGCTTTAGATACGTTAGGAAGATCTAAAGAAAAGTTTGCAGATTTCTTGTCTCCTTGTCTTCCTGAAGATGTTTTGCGAGCTTGGGAAAGATACTGGGTGTCCAGTCTTCCTAATGGTAGCATTACGTGCATTTCTTTCTGAAAAACAATCATAGAACTCTTGAGAAGCTCATGAAAGTTTTAAGACAAGAAGTTAATGGCGAAGAAATGATAAATTTGGCTCGATCAGGTTTCGGAAATCAAGGTTAAAAAAGGAAGTTGATACTTCAAGAAATGGTATCCCTTCTGCTTCAGCTCTTATTTCATCCATGCAGGAAAATGCTAAATGATTTTTTGTGACCATCTACACTTTAGTAGAGTCAATGTACTTGAAAGCATTTTGACTGGAAGTACTGAGGTACTTACATCTGGCGTTTTAGCTGTAGAGACTTACAAGGTTGGACAATATTAGGACTAACCAAGAAAAAGCAGGTGGTTAATTTTGTCATGTTAAATCTTCAAAATTTTGAGTTGCCGAAGATATGGGATTTAAAAGTTTTAGGGATTACAGATCCTGTAGAAAGAAAAAAATAATATCCTTCTTGAAGAAGAAATTTTGATCCATTTCAAGAAAACTTTAATGGTACGTGAAGGTGGATGTTATAAAGTAGCACTGCCGTGGTTAGCTGGTCATCCTGCTCTTTATGACAAGTACGATATAGCTGAATCACGACTTTGCACGGCAACAAAATGTTTGCTAAAAGAAAATAACTTTGAAGCCTACATTGCTGTATCCAACAGTGGAGATTAGATGGCATCACAGAAAATGTTCCAATGGAGCACCTGTTTAAGCTTAGGCCTGATCTCCATAAAAGAAGCCATCCAGCAGTACTATGAAGGTTCGCCCAGTGTTCTACACGTCTTTCAAGCGGCCTTGATATGCTTCTTTAAACGAGCGAGTTTTAGACCAAGTCTGATACATCAGATGGTTCCATGCCGGGAATCGAACCCGGGATGCCTGGGTGAAACTCTGGGACCTTGTCATAACGAGATTCCAGAAGATGCAAATGTAACTCAAAGCAGTCGCCGAGTGGAGCTTGCTTTGAGTTACACCCTTTAAACGTATGGGCTTATGAACTGCTATTGACTTTTTCCCTAGACTTTGATAATTGTAATGTCATTTGTGTGTTTATTGTTCTTTAATGTAATATTATTCACACATTTATAGTTCTTAGTTCAGTTTCATGTCATGTGCTAAAATTTATGTCTATCTTACATTACAGTTTTGTTTTGTAAGAGCTAGATGTACAAGACAAAAGGTGGGAGGATGTTGTATATCAATATTCATTGTTATCAGTTTTAGAATTCAGTTTTTATGTGTATGTATCTATATATAATCTAGAGAAAAATGTTTTTGTGACTAACTTGTGTAAGGTTTCTAAGTAAAAAGTGTCTCAGTACGAAATAAAATATTTAGTTTATGACTGTTCCTTTTCTTAACGAGTTAGAACAGTAACTCACATCAAACAGTTTGAAGTTTCTCAAAACCTTCAAAGAAGTATAACAGATATGAAGCCAAGATCCACCACAACCCATGGAAAGGGAAGTCTTTATTTCTAAACAATTTTCCAGATGTTCTTACGTATTCCTGTATAATAATATAACAATGCTTCCCTACACCCTAAACCATATGCTGTAAAAGCAAAGAAGGATAAACATTTTGATACTGAAATCCAAAGAAAAGTTTCAATTGACAGGCTAAAACCATGTTTTCTAACGAAAAGAACAGATATTCCTTTCCAAGAACCGCATTCTGAGAAAACAGAACTTGGTGAAACATCTGAATGTGATACTGAAGAAAATTCAGACTTGCATAAAACCAGAATACTACCAGACGCTTGAAGTGCCCTAGTCCCTTAAAAGATTATCTTCCTTACTCGCTATCACTGGGAAGGGGGAGTGTAGTGTCGCTTCTGTCACATCGATTTAATGCGTTATGATCAAGTTTTTGATTAAGTTTCGTTAAAGTAACAAAGTTAAGCCACCATAAAATAGAAGAAACAATGGCCAATTTTATATTTATGAAATGAGATTCGATATGAATAAAAGTTAATCTTGTCAGAGTCAGAGAAGTGTTGTTAGCATTTCCCTACATACTAGATACTTCACTTAAAACTAGTTCAATTTCAATAAAAATTCGTGTTTTAAATACATGTACTTGCAAATTAAATTGCATTTATTATTATTATTTCTGTTGTTGTTTAATTCCACTAACTATACCTTACACGCATTAGAAAAAGCAGATAACATATTTAAAAAAGTTCTTAAATCATTTTCATACAAGTTTATTGATTTATTTTATATCCTCCTGTAAAAATCTGTAAACAAACAACTTTTTTGTTTAATGTTATAGTAATACAACTAGCAGTTTTGTAGACATTCATCGTGAGGACAACTTTTCTGCAGATAAATAATAACTTATATTGGTTTTTTTCACTGATGATATATGTGTGATTGCCATATATATTACTTTTATACCAATAATAAAAAAAAAAAAAAAAAAAAAAGCAGTAAAAAGTCAGAAACATAGATTTATTCCGCATATTCTAAGAAAATATGACCTAAAAGTAGAACATGTTTAATTTTTATAAATTCTGTGTACAATTAAAACAAAATATACAACTACAACAAAAATGTTTGAATTTCATTCAAAATGGAATACCTTAAATTTTATGGAGATTCCAAAATTAAAAATAGACCAATATGCATACATTTGATTTTCATTCAAGCTGGAATCATACATTTTAAAGAGATGAAAAATTACAAAAATATATGACTTCAACATTTTTACTCAAGATGGAATGAATTCAATTCTATTACAGATTAAAACAATAAAATACACAAACTAAAAAAAAAAAAAAACAGAATATGTTTGATTTTTATTAAAAAAGGGAAACTTTAAATTTTGTGCACAGCTGAAATAAATTCTCACTGGGGAAATAGATTTATTAAATTATACAAATGTACAAATATAATATCACAAATACCATATTTATTAATATTACAATAACCTTCAGCATTTGCTTCATGATGAACTATAAATTCTTTAATTGCACTTTCATTTCAAAGAGCAAAAAAAGAGCACTTATGAAAGTAAAACTTAACACTTCAATATGCAAAGTATAATTCTGAATGAGAAAATAATTTTCTTTTAAAAATAGAGCTCTGGTATATTATTATTTAAAGCTATGTACAATGATCCTAGTGTGGAAACATTATGGTTTTGATGAATTTTACATGTTATAAAAAGAAACGAAAATAAAGATGATCAAAAGATGACACAGTGGCACCATTAAAATCCCTTAACCCAGATCATGCAATTGTTGAATATAAAATAGCATGAATAAAATTGAAGATTGGCGCACAAATTCGCATACTAGCATAAACCCCACTAAATCAAGACTGCTATGTGTTAGAAAACATAAATGTCACCCAGTCAACAAAGAATTTGATCTTTTTAAAAGCAATGCTAGCATCTTTCTGAAAATTCTCACAGTAACTAATGCTCATTATCTTGATGTTCATTTAAACACTTGTTTAACCTGAAAAAATCATATTCATAATACAATAGGTACAGTAACAGAAATTTTTGCTCGCCCCAAAAGCTTATTAGAAAAATCATCTCCTCATCTCGACATCCCAAGATAGATGAGATTATATATTTCTATCATAAGACCTGTATTAACATATGCTTTGCCTATTTAAAGTTCAGCCACTCACACAAACTTCAACATCTTTAAGTTTTAAAAAATAGTATGCTGAGAAAGATTACATGTGCTTCCGGGCACACAGACTTGAAAATCTAATCTGCATCCATGATATCAACAGAAATTTCTATAATAAAACCATTAACATAAAATATTTAAAAAAAGGTTGTTAAGCATGAAATCATAGATACTGAATTCGCACTTAGACCTCAGGCTTCCCACCACCTATAATATCAGTCACTAGGAACACAACTGTATATATTTAATGCAGTTTTCTCAACATTTTTAACTTAGAATTATTTGATGTATTTGCAAACGCAACCCTACTGACCCTTGAGGCCAGTTTACATCTGTTTGAGCAGCTCGTAATGAGCCACTCATCCGGGCATCTCGAACCGAGGAAACGGACCAGTACTCTGATTCAGATAGTCCACTCTGATTGAATCAGAAAACATAAGAAAGGCCTGTTGAAAAATCTATCCTCCACTGACAACTTGCCTCTGTTTACAAAATGGGTACAGACATGGCAGCTGCAGTGCTTTAAAGTCGGCAAAGCAAATTCAAACAAATTAATTTCTGTTCTTAAAAAAAGAGAAGAAGAAAAGGAAATGGCCACGTGACTGGGTAGATCGCCGCAATGAATTAGGAGTATCAAATGAACCATTAAATGAATTTTGGGACGAGGATGTTCAAATTTACAAAATCTTTATTGTATTTCAGATACAAGGACTTAAAATATATTCCGTAAACATAATCGAAATTTATTCACTTTCAAAATATATTCATTAATCAATTTAAAAGAAATTCAGTTTATTGAGGGAAGTTAAAAGTCAATCGATTTAAAACAAACTCAGTTTACTGAGGGAAGTTATTTAGTCAATTGTGGTTACTGAAATTCAAGTTAACAAAGTTTTTCTACTATATATAACTGTTTATTTACACCTAATTAATCATTTTTAAAATAATGTAAAAGTAATAATGTGTTTTATTAATAGAAAGAATACATTTATTCATCCAGAATCTGCAAAATCAGTAGCTTTCTCTGCATGTAATTAATTATGCAGAGTTCTGACTGAGACTGTATTATTTCTACAGCAAAATGCAAAATTAACACATGTAATATTTATTCAAAGCTACCATTAACACAACAGAAATAAACTGTATAATATCTACCTAATTATTCAGAAAATCTTAAATAAATAAGAAGTACAAAACAACTTGGGTACATTACATATAATATCACAGGTAAAAGAATATATATATTATGACATAGTTCCAACAGGAAGATATTTATCGCAAATAGCGATTATACTTTATTTTTAAAATGCTGAAACGGATAGCTTAAGAAAATTAGGATTCATCTAGCATAATTTGTATACACCTCGATACACCTTAAGCACTTGTACTCAGTGTTTCAGATCCAAGCTGAATTGTAACAAATTATAGCCCAGAATGTTTTTATACAAAGCAATAAATTTAAATATTCCCAATGAAACAGATCTACATATTTTTTCATAATTCCACTTTTATTTTTATAGTTTATAATATCATATATTTATTACATCCTCAAGTAGGGATGTTTATAGAAAAATGAATATAAGCTCACATTATTATAGAAGTACACAACTTATTAATGAAGCGGTGAAGTGTTCCGTAACACTTCATAAGATGCGTATGCATTAAAAAATGCAATGGTTTGGCTGTCGTTCCATCTCGACATTACAGAACTCACTGTCATGACGTGTCAGCGAATGCTGCTCAGAGTAACTGCCCGGATAGATTTTTCAATAGGTTCAAAGCAGAAAACTGAAGTGCTGACTCATCTCCCCTATGTTTCTACTCGGTCAAAGTGAGCGTTTACATTGTCAAAGTAATCATAACGAGCAGCTCGCTATGAGCTCTCTGACAGGTGTAAACTGGCCTTTCTTATGTTCACTTTTCACCAAGATTATTGCAAGTCTGATTGGTGCGACAGGTAAAGAACAGTAAAGCACTAGGAGAACACAAAGCAACACTCACTGCAGACTTGTTTCCCTTTTGCTTGCATTTGTTTATAATCTTGTGTCTTTGTTTATATTTGTTTTGTATTTAAATCCATAACTGTGTATATTATCTATTTTGCAATTCATTTGCATATTAAGCATGTATTCACATTTATTTTACATTTTATGTATATAATCACTTCATAGTTCCTCTTCACCAAAGCAAGTGCCTTCAGATCTCTTTTGAATCTCTTAAGTGGAAAATATCACTGAATTTGTGTATATGAGGTTTCCCATTTCTTGGGCTACTTGCATGTGCTAGCAATAGTGCTAAAATTTTACAGTTCAAGATAGAAAAATTTTAGTGCCCAAGTCTGTGAGATTATCAGGATTAAGTCTGGTAATACTAGCTACTGATTTTTTCACAGTGTTCTAAATTTACTATAACATTAAATGAATAGAAATAATTTATCACTCATAAAATGATAGCAAGATAATGCAAAATATCATATAGCAAGTAGATCAACAAAAAGATGCTAGAGGAGCATTTTGGCAAGACTCCAATATCCAAACACTATGATCACCAGAATCTACAGCTTTTATCAGTTTAAGCTTTTATTTTATTTTACTTTATTTAGATATTTATTTTGTAAGGACGTTTAAAAGAAACTATGCAATTTTTGATTTTCTGGATCATTTAGTTAGCTACAAAGAAATACACTCTTGTTCCTCTGTGTTTTAAATGTATCATTTTAAAGAAATTTTTATTTTGTTTAAGAAAATAATCTTCATTTTCTTTTTCTTTTCTTTTTTTTGCTTGATATTCAATGTATTTTATTAGCAACATTTTACAGAGTATGCTTCTGGTTGATAGAAGATTAAGGGTAAATCTTCAGTGATATTGCAGCCTTTTTTCTTCAGTGCTTGTTCTAGAACTTCAATATTGTTCAAGTTTTTCTTACTACAGTCACCATCAAGGTATTAATTATAGACTACTAGATGAAAATACCATATTACATTGAAGAAAAAAACCCCTGTATTTTAGAAATATTTTACAAAGGGAAAAATTTTCATTTATGTAAGATGGTTTTACAATATAAGCTAGTCATACTAAAGACGCCTTCCAAAACAAAAATTAAATTGCCTAAACAGCATTTCTTGAAGTTCACCTAAATAAATGTTTTCAAATGAAAACACTAAGAGATAAATTACTTTAATATAGTTTTTAAATGTTAAGCTGCACATAGTAGATAGATAAGATTTCAAGAAAGACCTTTAAGTGGAAAAATATCATATTATACTCAGACAAATATGATATGGAGATTGAAAGAACAGCTGCCAGAATAAAAATGTGATGATGTTATGGAATATTTAAACTTTGTGGAAATAAAACGTGAAAAAAACACCTTCACGTGAATATGTTAAAAAATAAAAGGTAAAAATAAAAAATAAGATATATAACCCTGAGCAAATATAAAAATACAAAATTACAAGAAACAAACTACACTACATAAAAGGTTGTAAAATGTTACAAAACTTTGGATACTCATTCTGTGAATCTATCTCTTACATCTAAAAGTGCAACTTTCAGCTCAACTAAGCTGTTTACCTTTTTTTTTTACATCTTTACTTGAGAAGTTTACCTATACATGTTAAGATATAATATATAAAAGAAAATTACTAACGCTAACTGACAGTGCATTTAATTCCTTATTTTAGTTTGACTATGTCCTCTTCCTGGAATCAACCTGCATCAGATGAAAACTAATCTGCATTATTAATCCTGTAATATGGTTAGCTCTTTCCAATCATGGTTCAAAATTTTAAAAAAGATTTAACTTTATTAATACACTTTGCTGAAATGCGCACTCACTTTGCCTGCCTAACTCTTGCTATGCTAAGATGTTCTGTTGCGTTACTCTGTTCTCTATGTCGACCACTGTCCAAACAATGTGAAATGCTTCAAAAAACTGCATAAGGCTTATCTCTCTCATGGTGATGAATAAAACAGAATATGTGTCCTCAGAATTAGTTATCAAGAAATAAAATTATGTCTTGTTATCTAAGCTTATGTCTGCAAGTTTTTTCTTCTCCATTGCATCAGCTTATGCATTTACGCTATCTTCAAACTCTTAAGTCAGCTACCAGAATAATCACACACACACACACATATATAGTGAAAAAGAGAGATAGTTATACATACACACACAGCTGTATGTTTATACATGTAAAAGAAAACATGAATCTCAAAATATAGCCATAAAAATGTGATATTAATACAATTCAATGTGGAATTCTGTGCAATTAAGTTTCTTATTGTTTATCAGCTAAACACATGTGTAATATATTTAAACAGTTATGCAAAATACATTAATTATTACATATTTTAAACAAACATCAAATAATTTCTTAAATCCTCAATTTTGCCTTTTTTTAATACATATATGCATTTCTTATTTATGTATTAAAAATAATATTAATATTTTTTATATATATCCAGTGCTTACTGCATTATTCTTTTCTAAGCACACTATGACATATACACAATGCTGTTATGGTTTCTGATATGCCACCATTTTTTACAGAACAATAATTATGTTCTCCTAAATTTAGATACTTTCTGCATACCTAGAAATTACACCTTTAACTCCCAGCATTTTATAAATGGTACACTGAAGGGAAAAACTGTCAATTTGATGGAGGTTTTAAATATTAAGTTAGCTACCATTAATATTTAGAAAAATATCTTCACTCCTCCTGCCAAAAAGAAGTAGAATAACTAATATGTATCAAAACAGGATGAAAGTTGCCACAGCTGTCAACCTTGAAATATGAATAATGCGAAAAGCTCCTAACTTGAAAACTGGGAGTTTACAGGAAGTTTTTCACTTTGCATGGTAAAACCACTTCAGAAGAATCCAAATGAACTTAAATTCACTTTATAATGCATGATTCTGAACTATTTATAATATGATTCTGTTTATAAAAATATATTACCGTTTAACGAGATATTCTAAATTTTATGTTATCTGGCTATTCTCATTTCGAATTTTTTTTTTACACTTCTATACTAAGAAAATTCAGAGTGGGGGCAGAAAAGCTTTTATTTATCAAAGCTCTTTTAAATATGATAAAAACATAATTTATTATTAACGCCAATACTATTGTGTGGATAAACATACTAATATTTCATTTATTGATGTAAAATAAAATTAAAAGTGTATTAACTAATTAAACACCAGTTGAATCCTTATAAAAAGTTCGGTGCATGTCTACAACAGATTAAAACAAACTGGATCAAATAAAATTTAATAACGAAAATTATGCTGAAAATCAGTAGAGGTGGGTGGAAACAAATTAGCACAATTTTAAGTTTCATTAATTCAATAAATCTTATATATTGCTGGAAAACATTTTCTTTAGTAAAGAGTAAAAATGAAAAACTAGTTACTTATAATTTCTTGTGCAATATATCAAATATAAAAATTTAACATCTCCCTTTATTTAGCATTGGGAGGATGATACATGTTTCAAATGCTTTCAAGAACATATAAAAATTTCAAACAGTCAAAGGCTTTTAAAAGGTTAAAACAAAAGCTATTGCTAACATCCAAACTCTTTAAGTTACACTTTTTACAAATCCTACATTCTTCCTTATCTAAAAATACAAATAAATGATACACACCTTGTACACTTAGTGAACACAAAAGTACAAACATCTAGGTAATTGATTAACCTAAACCATACAACCTTTATTTTAAAATTCCCCTTGCAAATATATATATATATATATATACACAACACACAATGTAAAAATATTTATAATGCACTTTTTCAATGATAAATAGTCAACAATGTCAAATTTAACAATTGAGACTGAGATTCTATATGAAAACAAACTACATTTTCAAAATACTTTACACAATAATACTTCTCTATGAAATCCATATGAAAATATTACATTTTACATGTATTGTTTACAAATTACTTCCTCAGCCAAACTATTAAAATACTAAATAACAGAATTAGTATCAAATATTTGTTAGAGTGCAAAAGAAGTCCACTATTACACCATTGATCAAATTCACAAAAACAATAGGTCACTTCATCCCAATGTTGACTGAAATACAAATAATATATAATACTTCATTAAACTTTTACAATAAAATACAATATCATCAAAAGCACAATTTTCTCATATCTTTCTGAAATTTCTTTCATCCCTTTATGCACATTTTAAAATTCTGTTCCACAAAATTGCTATATATGCAAATAAAAAAATTACTTTAAAAATCTAAATAAATAAATAAAATTTTTGTTACTTTCTGATTATCAGCAACTTCCATTAAAAGTCACAGAAATTGTTCATAAAGTCCCTAAAAAGTATTTAGGTGGCAACCCAGATATGTACAGGAAGCCTTCAAAGTAGTGTCATACCTTCATGCAAGCAAACCACCATTTGAAAAGAAAGAAATCTCAATAGCGGTGCCATGGCAAATTGGAGAATGTACAAATTGAAGACCACTTTCTCGCTTTGAACTGATCATTGGCATCCTTACACCAATTTGGTGTTTTTCATAGAGATGCACACACCCTTATGGAAGTCCAATTTTTTTCTCAATTACTGATTGATAAATTAAGCAGGAAATGAAATAATTCTTTGGCACTTTTATGAAAAATAGGGATTTTTCACAGTGATGATCGCACGCTTTTAGTTCAGGCACCACTGTAGAGACATTAGGTATTTTTGCAAGCAGGAGTAATGAAAAATTAACAACGCCTTCACCGGGAATCGAACCGTGGACCTCTGGAATACCGGCCCAGTGTGCAAATCACTACACCATGAAGGCATGCTAGGAAGGCGGGAGAAATACCTCATAAGTGGTTAAAGTTTTATTTTGTATATGTCTTCATAAGTTGTATTTATTTTACTATTATAATAAATTTTCAAGAAATAGATTTCGTTCATAACATTTATTATATGCAAGAAAACCATCCAGACAATACAGTGGATAGTGACGCTAACTGCTGTAGCGAAGGGCCCAAGTTCAAATCCTGGAGAAGGCATGATTGTAAGTATATAGAGTCATGTGGCAAGGGGGCGCTCAAAATATATGGGAAACTGAAAGTCCTATCGAGTGGCTGGTGGTAGAGGAAAAGGGATGACAGATCTTTGGACCTGCCCTCGGGACGTTCTTCCCCCAAACTGAGGTGGACCTATAAAGGTTAATGTGGCAGAACTATACAACCTATGGTAAAATACTGGTGTACCACCGATTTATAGCTGTACTTGTATGCAATGCATTAGCAGCCTTCCTTTCCTTATTTTGGATGCTTTCCAAAATAAGGAAAGCTGAAAACTATTCTAAGGCTTAAAAGATAATTTAAATGCTCCTTCTTCTCATACATAACTAATGATTACTGAATTCTATAAATGAAAAAGCAGAAGCACCAAAATGTTATATAAATCAAAAATAATCTAAGGAAACGTACACATAATCAACATGTCATAAGTGGATGTATTTATGTTTGTTCCACTAAAACTTTCTTGGCTTTTCACTGCAAAATACTATTATGCTTACTATTTTCAACCTTCTGTCTTATGGAGATCTGTGGAATGGTGGAACTAAAAGCAAAAGGGTTACATAACAGCATATGGTAATTTATCCCAACGGCAGTGATGATTTATTTGATGAATTATTAGCAGCAGTCGCTAAAATGTGGCCATCAAGAAATATCACTTTAAAGTTTATTTTGCATATATTTCTACATGTTGTTTATTTCAATTACTTACAAAATTGTATTAAGTAAAATAATAAACACAAATGCGTATTAAATTGCTTCTGTATGTATATATTAAACTGTGTACTGCAGACATTAAATGAATTGATTGGGTATATCAGTAACTGTCTGTTTCTCGTAAGGTTAAAATACCCCAATTCTCATTTTTTGTCAAGACCAGAAGTGTTATAATTTGAGAACAATTTCTATAGCTAAGGTTTTTTTAACAGAGTTATACATAAATAACTAAAAATACAGAATGAAAAGGCTATATAAAAATTTCAATGACTATAAACAAAACACAGTATTTTATGATTATTAACTCAACCTTGAAGAGAATTCACCAGACAGCACACTATGTTGCTAAAATAGGAAACCCATAACATTTGCAAATTGCATTTACATGGCAACCCAGGTACATGTGCACACACAGCTGAGTATCATTTTTTACTTTCAAATTCAACAGCCATTACTGTTTGTTTTTATTGCATTGAATGCACTTTTTTCCCCTTCTAAGGAACTGTAGAATTTTTCAGGTGATGAAAACAAAAGTGTCGCATTCCTTTAGAAACATGGCACTTTATCCAACAGTTAAGAGAAGGCAATAATTCACATTCTAAAACGTTCTTCATAAGCAATCAAAATTTGTGCAGCTCTCTGATTTTTTTTTTTTAAACAAAAACAAATTGCTGTGTACAGATTACTGTATACATAGACAGAAAAAGCTAAATGCTTTATCATGGAGTGTACCACCACGTTTGAAAACTGCTGTTGTCTTTTGTGATTATCTGCATCCTCACTAATATTCCCAAACTCATTGGCAACTTTGGGAAGTATTCCCAAACTTACTGGCAACTTTGGGGAGTATTCCCAAACTTACTGGCAACTTTGGGGAGTATTCCCAAACTTACTGGCAACTTTGGGGAGTATCCCCAAACTCTTTAGCCATTCCAGAAAATGAGATTTTTTCCACAACTAGGTACTCCTTGATGAAATTAAAAATTTTTCATCAAGCTAATGCACGAAAGTCAAGAGCCAATTTTAAAATACTGGAGCACTAAGAATTCCATAAAAGAGTAAACAAACAATAAAATTTTAAAAAGCAAGAAACATGGATAATAAAACACTTGTTCTGCTGTACACAATCATCTGTTTTTGATAGAAAAAATATCAGGAAATTGCATGACCTCAACATTATACAACATTTCTCATTAGCCAAAATATATGTCTGCTATGCACATATTGATACTGCATCACAGCAGTACCCTTGGCATAGAGTAATGCACATTTATGCAAGTTGACCATAGCTTTTAAATAATAATAATCTTCATAGTGGTGTTTCAGAATAAAGGAGCATGCACAAAATCATCGGCTTTCTTATGCCAATCCAGCATTTACTTCTTGAATAGTTTTGAAGAAAAAGGTAATAAAAAAGGAAAATGAAGTAGACTCAGATTATAAAGTCATTAGCTCTGCAGATTACACATCCAGCATGTGCTGATAAAGAAAGAGAATACATATTTATAATCTATGGAAGCAGAATATATTCCCTTCATAAACTGCAAAAGAATTGTAGTGGTCAAATGACTTTCTGTGGACCACTTCCAACCATCTATAATATCAGGTCACCTAGAAAGTTCTGCAATTTTTCAAATATAAGGTTCATTTTCTTCAAATTATTTTGCTACCACTGATATGGAGTGACCTTGATTGAAAAAGCTGTTTAAAAATGGTCTTTTCTGCTCATGTTGCATAATTCTAGCATGTGTTATGGCATAACTTTTACTTCAGTGCAGTGCTAAGAATGCAGAACCAAAATGTTCATTTTTTTACTTCATATTCTTTTACTTTAAAAAATGGAAAAACATAAGTTATTTTAAAAAATGGAAACTAGTCAGATTTCTGATAAATTTTGAGTAAATATGGAAAAAATGCTGTTTTTTATGACACAGTTTGAGTGTGGTTTGATATGTGAAAGCATGGATACTTCAGCCTCAAAGATGATGCTAGCTCTGGATGACCATCTTCTACAAACAAAGACCTATTGAAAACCCAAGTTGTACAGTTTAGGAATTATCAGAAACAATAAATATTCTGAAAAGTACAGTATATGATTATCTGAAGAAGATTGGGTATGTAAGATATCATGATGTATGGGTATCTCGTATACTAACAGAGCAGAATATGCTTGTTGGAGCTTCGGTGTGCGATTCTTTGCAGAAAAAAAAAAAAATGAAAATGTTCCTCTTTTTAAAAATTTATTATTTCACATGAGAAGAGGGTACTGTACAATGTTATAAGAAAAAGCTTATTGGATAAGGCAAAAGAATCTCTTTTAATAACACTTAGAAGGGGAATGTATCCCCCAAAAATAATGCTTTGGATGGTGGACTACAAAGGAATCACACATTATGCATAGACTCCAACCTTCAGCAAACCTTGTCAGTAGTCAACGCGCGAACGACATTTTTACAACTTCGAAAATGTGCGCGTAGCGTATGTTGTAATTAACCATTCATTAATTTTAAATTAATAATTAATTGTAATCAATTTTATTACATTTAAAATCCATATACATATAAAACTGAATAATTAAAAATATACCTTGTAAATTATATGCACATTTAATTAGAAATTTTCTTTTAACTCCTCAAGCATTCACTAATAAAAGTACTTCAAATCACTACTAATCATAGAAAAAATCAGAAGCTATAAATCATATCTTTATTCTGGATATGATTTCTACAGGGAAATAAAATTTAAATAACCAAGAATGATACATATAAGTATTAAACAAAATACGCATAATTTATGAATGCCAAAGATTTATATGTAGCATGCTTAGCAAGGTTAAGTTCTGATTTTGAGAATGTTTTTTTTTATAACACAGTTCTTCTTCATTTGCCTGCATATTTATTTTTTCAATCATCAAAACTGCTTCAAGAGGTTTTAAGACCTAAATTTGGTCGAAATTCCGTCTGATTTTTTTTTAACAATAGAAAAAATTCTTTCGCAAGCTGCATTTGAATGAGGTATTATTAAGACAGCAAGCATTACAGAAGGCAATACTTTGTATTTAATACACCCATTCATATTTTTTAATTTGGCAATTTCTCCCCATGCTATATCAATACGCAAATCTAACAATTTCTTTCAAAATCACCTACTTGATACATGGAAAATTCAATTTCTACTTGATTAAGACATTTTTCATCAATAATGGATGGAAAAGTATTCATCAAGTAAGAACAGATGAAAATGAGACTTCAGTTCTCAAGTTGATGTCAGCAACTTCAGCATGTTTTAGAAATGGATCACTCAGTGGAAATTTATCAATTATATATGAACATGCAGTTACAAAAAAAGCTTGCACAGAATTGAAAATGATTTCACTTCTCACTTTCATTCACTTGGCATTTTTTAAATATAGTCTTGTTTTCTGCACCAATCACTAAATTTTCATTTTCTTTTTGTTTACTATACTTCTGAAATGGAATAGACGTTAGAGTAACATCTTCATTTTCTTTAGAAATTACTGATGGTTTTACGAATCTAACAAATACATTCATTAAAAGTTCAAAAAGTTCTCTTCTCAATTTATGTATATAAGGAGCTTGTTGTTGCAAATTATATTTACTGTTATAAACAAGGCAAAGTATTTTTCAAAATAACACGTACAATTTGGTGGTCGGTGACTGTAAATTTTTTTTAATGTTTTGCAATCTCTTTCCTTCATTCTCACTGTTATCTGGTTTATCTCCAAAAAAATTTATCACAGGATCCCACTGTTCCAAAATCCTTGTTATAGATTCTAAAAGAGACAACCATCTCGTACTGCAATATTTCAAATTTTATGAGATCTTGCATTCTGTCCCAAAATTTGTTTGAGCAACTTTGAAGCTATGCTTCCGTTTCGAACTTTTTCTTTTCTCCAAGTAAAAATATATATCTATTATCAACATTTCAATTTCTGAGCCATTAATTTTTCAGTAGCTTTTTTTTGCAGCTATATGCAAGAGGTGGCACGGACACCTCGGTGATTATACTTGGTTGATGCATTTTGATAAATGATGCTACACCTTTAAACTTTCCAATCATATTACTAGCATTATCTGAAGAAATGATAAGCAAATTTTTCCATTCTAAACCTTTGTTTTTAAAGTTTTTCATTTTATACAATTAAACAATACCTTCTCCTGTATTATTCGTCGGCATTCTAAAATAGAAATCAATGAAGTATTATCACTCCCTTTTCTTTACTGTAGTATGTTATAACCAATGGGTACAGTTTGTTATCATTGTTACCATTACTTCCATCAGTACTTAGAGAAAATGATGTACTGCACACTGATTTTATAATATCAGCACAGTATTTTCTGCAAAGCGTTTTCACATAGCAGCAGTTTTGGTATGACCACAGCTAAATTTTTTTGCTATGGCAGAATCCAGAAACATTGCTTTGAAAGCTCTTTGGAATGATCCGAACAGAAAGCGGTAGATTTATGTTCAATTAAAAACGAACAAAATAGCATTCGGCTTTTATAGGATCTGTTTTCATCATCTTTTATTAAGAAATTTGTTATTTCTTTAGATTTTACAGTGCCAAGTTCTATATGCTTTTGAGAACAACACATGTCCATTTACAGTCATCTTTTTCCGCCATGAGCAACTGAGAAGTCTTTGTTGCATACACTGCAGTGTGTGTGATTCACAGAAATTTCGGATGCTTTAATGCATGGAAATTCTGAAGAATATGAATCTTTAAATTTTCTGCTTTGATAATTTTGGCGTCTTCGTTTCGAGGTAAGCATTATTAACAAAAAATCTTTCCACCTGATTCACAGTTCACAAGACACGCTAAGATCTCACCATAATCTAACACAATGGCAGCAGAATGCAGCCTAAACATGCAGCAGCGATGGAAACCTATGAGACAGATGTTGCGGGTGGAACTATTGACAAGTCGTTAACGGTTGGAGTTACTGATCTACGATTGGCTAATTCTTCAAAACTAGGAACGCACTCAACACGTGATATATGATAACACGAGTATTCAGCCAATCATCGGATGAATTAGTTGGTTCCGTTTTGTGTACTGGTTCTCCTGCTCTTGTTTCTGTAAAATCCGTAGTTTTTTTCCATACTTTTCGTAGCTCGTAGTTTTTCATAAATTTCCATAGAAACTACGGAGAATCCGTAGTAGTTGGAGTCTATGCATTATGGTGGGATTCAAAGGAACTGTATTACACAAATTGTTGCCAGCAAATCAAAAGTAAATTTTAAAAGTACTGCTTCCAAATAAGCAGCAGTTCTAAAAGCAGAAATCAAAGGAAATGCCCAGATGTGATTAATCATCGAGGTGTTGTCTTCCATCAGGATAATACTCGGCCCCACTTTGATGAATGTCAGACAAAGATATATTGAGTACAGTTGGGATGTTCTGCGTCATTCTTCATATTTATCAGACCATGCTTCCTTGGATTTTTATCTCTTCAGGTCACTTCAAGATCCTCTGAATGACCTGAAGTTCACTTCTTTGGAGACTGTCAAACAGTACTTCAATAATTTCTTTATGAAAACACCTAAAGACTTTTTCAAAAGAATACATCTTTTTTTAATACAGATATATCCCTTTTTAAAGATCTTTTTAAAATCTATTGTTATTCCTTTTTACTACTTTTAAGATCAACAGATTTAAATTTTGTGGCTTAACAAGAAATTTTGTTCTTATATAGTCTAAGACACATAACCAGGGCTGGCACCAGAGCAGATGCAACTGCACCAGGCAGCAAAAATTTTGCAATTTAGGAAAGCATCGAGAAACATAATTTAGGGATGGCAAAATTTTTAAAACATGGCACTCAATGGACAGCAGAATTTAAGAGTGAGATTTCCCCCCCCTCCCCATTTTAGGAGGCACCTGGCAACAGAACTTAGGACCTGCAAAGATGGCACAAGGTAGTAAATTACTTAGTGCCAGCCTTGATAAACAACTATAGACAATGAAAATTTTTTTTAAAAAAATACTAATAAAATAACTAATAATAATTTTATGATTCTCCCTAGTTCAGATATGCTTTTTAATTGCATAAGTTCTTTCTCCCACATGGAAAACACAGCATAATTTTCCCCCTCTTGATCTTCAAGTGTAAAATTAGAGACAACATGGGGAGGGTACATGTAAATGATATTCTGTCAAAATTATTTCAGTTAATAATAATAAAACTCTCTTATAACAGTAATTTTATGGGCTATTTTTTTAAATTTACTAAATATTTTGTGATCTTTTTGAATGAATTAAAACTGATTCTAAAGTTTCGCTTAATATCCCTTTATTTCTTAACAGCATCTTTTATGGAATACACTAATCATGCAAACCGAGTAGTTACTGTAAAAACTGCATAACAGAAAAATAATTGCTTTGTCTGAATTTTCCTTTTTTTAGCACTTTAGTTTTTTTTAATAAATTTAACATTGAAAACATTTTAATTATGGAATCATAAAAATTACAGCACATACTTCTTTATCTCTAGCTGTGATATGTGATTTTCAACATAAACAGCAAGTTTAGGCTGCTCAGCTGCTTTCCGACATCCATCATACTTGTCTGCAGGAATATCCTTTTTTTGCGCTTCTAATTTAGACAGGCAATCTCTGGTGATAAATTTATTTACTGGAATAAGAGCAGACAGTTTTAGAAAGGTTTTTCAATTACAGGGATATTATAATCAGAATTATACATCCTAACAAAAATACCAAATCTTAAACCTTTCATGTAACAATAAGATTGTTTAAATGCTAATATACAGGGTGTACACTGTTGAAAATGTGGTGAAAAAAAGTTGCAAATGCTGATTACAAAAACAAAAACTAGAATAAACTTCATGTATTCAAAAGAAATTCAGCACAGATACAATCATGTTACCTGTTCTATAACTGATAATAATCATATAAATATTTTTATTATAATATATCTTCTGTAAAAGACATACTATGATTAGAATAAATAATTATTATTAATAAAAAATTAATGCGAATGAAGAAAGACTGCAAAAATGTATCTATATTTCGTTGAATTAAAAATTCCATAAAGAGATGACAAATATTTAATATCACGGAAAACTTTCTCACTATAATCATAAAATAAAAGATCTGTGGTTTTTTTTATGTACTGTCGAATTCTAATTACAACACACACACAACAAAAAAACAAAAAAAAACAAAAAAAAAAAAAAAAAATCTGGTAAAATTATTTTTAAAATTATACCCAAATATGCGAGTCTCTGACTTCACATTTAAAAAAGAACCGAGATTAAATATGTAAGGTCATTAATTTGTTTTAAAAATAGGTCTGAACATAAATTTCTGCAGCCAATTTGAAAGCCCTAGCGGCTATTACACATCAGACTTCAGATATAATGTTTTGTATTCTTACAGCACACGCTATCTGGGAGCAAACCTGTTTTTAATGGCTTTGTAACTATATCATGAAAAAGTAATAAACTTCTTAGTAAAGAAAATATTTCAGGGAAGCTGAAATTTTAAGGCATACAGTTTATACAGTCAAAAGTCTTTAATCCGGACTCGTAGGGACTTTGGCGATTCCGGATAACCGGTTTTTCCGGATTATAGATCATCAGTTTAAATCTGGTAAGATAGCATACAGAAATTATAAAATTAAAAATATGAAACCATAATTTATGAAATAAAGAGCAATTATTATCTAAAGAGTACCAAAATTTACAAAAAAAAAGCTTTATATTTATTTGCTTACTTTATTAAACATTTCTTTCAACGCGCGCATGCGTAAAGCATACATTATGCATAGTCGAAATTAGAAAATTGCAACCAGAAAACTATTTGATGTGTATTCGCGATATTTATAACGACGAGGAATTTGATTTAAATTATATCAGAGATGGAGTACATCGAGATGAAATACGACATTTAGTAAGGAATTATAAGCCGAATAAAATAAAAACATCTGCCCTGAAGATAAGGATAGTGCTTACAGATCAACTTCCAGTTCATTGCGCGCCGCTTCGCACCAGATTTGGGATTTTTTCAGATACTAGATCATCAGTTTAAATCTAGTAAGATGGCATGTAGAAATTATAAAATTAAAAATATGAAATTGTGATTTATGAAATAATGAAGTATTTATGATCTAAAGGATATCAAAATTTACACACACAAAAAAAAGCTTAATATTTATTTCTTTACCTTATTAAACATTTCTTTCAATGTAAGTTGTTTAAATTGCTCTGTTTTTTGTGCTAACACTTTCTCTTTAATTCTATAAACAGACATAATTTCTTGCTCAGTTACAAAGTTCCACTGTTCAAGTCCTGTAATTGCTGTGTCGTGAATACCGGCTAACTTGTCAATCGAAATGTTTTCATTTTCAACGACATTCTCTGTTACTTTCTTCACTATCAGAAGCAGTATCTTCTAGATCTAGAAACAAACTACAGATTTTGCCATTCATAACTGAGAAACATTGTCATCACAATGAAAAACTTCTTTAATATCATCTTCATTTATTACTGCTTCTCTACATTTCTTTACAAAATCCGTTAATTGGAAAATTTCACCTTTGTTTTCTGATATCCAAAAACCTTTAAAATTAGAGGCTATCATCATCAAATTTAGCTATCTTTCACTATACATATTTGGCTATGAATCATGAGTTTGGAGACTAATGACAAGTTGTTCCATGAAATTTTATCTTGCTTCTATTGCGCACTGAGACAATTAAAACTGAATTGTATTTAGTTCATTTATTATACTTATTTCTATTTCTTGCACATGCTTAAGGCTTATCAGAGTTCTGAATTAAGCCTTATTGAGGGCCAGCACTAGATATCTTACCCCCTGAGTCTCTGCGAGTCCTAAATTCTGAGACTCCTCCATGCGCCCATAAGAGCCCTGGGGTTGGTTCTGGGTTTATGTGAATAACAAATCAGTTATTCTTAATTCAAATAGTACAAATTTATGCTAAATGTAATCTTTGGGTCTATGAGTATCATCGACAAAATCTATTTTTATCATATGGAAAGAAATTTTTGTTAAATTTTTCCTCGTCAACATTTTTTAGCTCATTTAACTTACAGAATTTAACTTAATTCTGTAATCATCACCAAGCATAATGGCAACATAAAAGGTTACCATACTCCTTTATTATTTAATTACTAACATAAAAAAAATTGTTTAGGCATCGCTACATGAGTCATTACTCAAGTTGTCATGTTTTGATAAACATGCAGTGATGAAAGGAAGGTATAATAAATAATGATTCGCCACGTTGGTGTCAGATCAGCGATGTATCTTTGTGGAATGTTTCGGTTTGAGATGTGTGCCAAAAAGCATATATGCAGCAATGCAGCCAAATTACTGATCGTACAAATTTATGCTAAAATGTTTATTTCTTTAATAACAAGGTATTTGATTTCGTGTCAAAGTGAAATTAAGAATCGGGACTCTCCACATGTTTTATTATGCGCGGAGGGGCATCAAATGCGCATGCATAAAGCCTAGGAGAAAAACATTGTTGGTGGTTTTGAGATGCAGATTTTAGATCATTCCGGATAATGGTCATTTGGATTTCAGACTTATAATTTAAATACTAAAAATACTTTAAAAAATTAATTTTTTTATAAAATATTTTATTCCTGTGAGGAACTTTAAATATTAACATATAAGAACACAAATACTATGAACAAATTTCTTATCTTAAAATGTTAAATAAATACATATACAGTCAAAAGTCGTTAATCCGGACTCATCAGGACTTCGGCGATTCCGGTTTATAGATCATCAGTTTAAATCTGGTAAGATGGCATGCAGAAATCATAAAATTAAAAATATGAAACTGAAATTTATGAAATAAAGAACAATTATGATCTAAAGGGTATCAAAATTTACAAAAAGAAAAGCTTAATATTTATTTGTTTCCTTTTCTTTCAATGTAAGTTGTTTAAGTTGCTTCGTTTTATGTGATAATACTTTCTCTTTAATTCTACAAACAGACATAATTTCTTGTTCAGTTAAAAAGTTCCGCTGTTCAAGTCCTATAATTGCTGTGTCGAGAATACCGACTAATTTGTCAATCGAGATTTTTTCGTTTCCAATAACCTCTGTGTCACTCTTCACTATTGGAAGCGAATTATAATGACAAGGAATTAGATTAAATCATATCAAAGACGGTGTACATCGAGATGAAATACTACATTTAGTAAGGAATAAAATAAAACCATCTGCCCTGAAGATAATAGTGCTGACAAATCAACTTCCAATTCATTGCGTGCCACGGCGTCCCCCCTTTTCCGCCGCAGAGCAGCGTGAAATTGATAAACAAATTTCGCCGTGGTTAGAAAAACAAACGATATGCCTTTATCCATTTTTTTTGCAGCAATTCCACTTTTTGTTTAATGGACTTCGAAACATACTTTTGCTTTGTAGATCCTTTACATATTAGTAAATATATATCGGAAATTCTATTTGACATAATCGAAAGTTCAAGCTTACTTTTATAAAATTGATCTAACAGTCTGCAAAAAATAATAAGCCGGATCCAATTCGAAGATTAAGGAACAACGCAATCTGCAACATTAACTGAATTAGATAATTTTAGCTTAGCTTATACCGTCCGTTATACATTAAACGCGCATGCGTAAATGTATTATGCGCATATTCGCAGCCGTAAAAGTCTTATGCACATGCGTCAACGCGACGCATGGGGCAGAAAGTTTGTAGCTTTGAGGTCCGGATTATGGGTGTCCGAATTAACAACTTTTGACTGTATATGTCATGAAAAAGATGCAGCAATGTTGATGCCATAAAATGTAGAACGTTGAATCTGTAATGAAGAGCAAACTTAGCAGAGGAGGCAAATTAAATATACATTTTTATTTCAATTGACATTTGCAGCCACAATTTACTTGGCACTCTAATTGTTTCTATTCAAGAACATTTACATTTTGACACTGTTGCAACAGGAAGAGAGTAGGATGAAATAATGTCTTAAGGGAAAGACAAGTAGAAGTGTGCAGTTATCCAATGTGGCAGCCTATTAAGAGAAGTTTTTAAGTTGCTTATTAAGAGAAAGTTTCAGTTCTCAAAATTTTAAGTTTAGGTTCTTAGTTAGCTACGTCATCAATATTATGCAAGACATGCAACATAAATTAATCCAGAAAACTTACTACTATTTTTAGAATAGAGAAGGGAGAACTAAGGGCTATTGCTAGTTTAAATTATAATTGTGAGATATACATATGTTTTATTGAGATTTATATATTTTTCACCTTACATATATAAAACTTACCGCCTTTCCTTTCAATTATTTTTACACATTTGTCATCATCCCTAGGACAAGTAATTGCATGATGTATACGCCAATCAACGTAAAATTCTTCACATCCAGGTTGGGAACTCACACAGCTGTAGCACCACAGTTCACCAGAAACTAAACATACAAAATTTGAAAATAAAAACTTGATAATAAGAATTAAGTTCTAATGTTCACTGATTAAATAATGGAAGTTCAGCTACAGCTTGTTGTGTTTACTGTCAGATTAATATGCTTTATGTTTTTTTTTAAATGCTAATTAAATAATCATGATCAAAATCAAATATTTTCCCACTACTTTTTAAAATTTGATCAACATACTAAAATCAAACACTTTTGTTTCCAACTGCAAAGCAAATTATAAAATAAAATATCAAGAATAGGTGAATAATCATAAGATAGTAAGTTACCGAAGTTATTGCTTCTAAAGTTCTTTAACTTACCAAATGTCTGCCTCAAAGTGCCCAAAAATAAGAATAATAGAGGCAGTAGCGAAGCTAGAGGGGGCAAGGGAAGATATCTGTCCCTGAGCACAGCACCTGATGTTATGAATTTTTAGTTTCCCCCCCCCCTCAATTCTTGGCAAACAGGAAGGGCTGTGAAATCTTCAGTTGTTCCCAGGCGCTAAAAATGATAGCTACAGCTCTGAATACAAGTGATCAAAAATTCCAGTATGACAGAAGTCCTCTGTCTGACAACCATGACTCACTAGTCAGAACTGGGGTACAACTTCATGTGCCCCATCTCATGTTACTGTAATTTATCTGCATTGCCAAGCAATTTAATTTAGAAAAGTTCATCTGGTTATGTAAATTAATAAATAAAAGTCTCTTGGGTGCACATGAGCATCCTCTTCTTTTTCTCAGGCCATATGCTCTCTATATTCGTTTTTATATTATTCTTGTCTTGTAACAGGGTCAAAATGAAATAGAAGATCAATTAATTAATTAATTTTGGTTAGAGTAGATTGAAGGGTGCCCCTTGTATTATCACAAAGTTGTTTCATTTATCGCCAAGTTGTTGTTTCATTTATGGTAACCTGAGTAGTTGAATATTATGGAAACCCTATTATGGCATAATCAGTTGCATGATTGCGGTAAATTTTGAATTGCGGGAAAAGATTTGTAAGGGCTTGTGGTGTGTGTTGGTTAGGAAGTACATTGATTGCTTTGTGGCTTTTGACTAACGCCTACCATCTAAACAAAAATTGAAAACCTTCAATACCACCCCCCTTCTTGAACAAAGCTCAGATTGCCTAAATTTACGAGTGTTAGAGAAAAACTCAATCAGGATGTTGAAGTCTTAATTATTGAATTTAATAGTTAAAACTACTTTGCTTCTTTTACCACCTATTTTTCTCTTGCTTACCACCAGTAGTATGTGTACCACCAGTTGAGAACCCCTGGTTTAGACTGTAGAATGGCTGAATGTGGCAAGATTAACTTGAAGTTTCTGTACGATTTGGAATGAAAGGGAAAAAGAACATTAATTGAGTGGTGTGTACATGATGGTTTACTTGGAAGCCATTATAAGTGTTCTGTTTGTAGAAGGTAATGCACACGGTCGAACGTCTGAGGTTACCGAGACTACGGAGGATATTTATTACTCCTATTTTTGTGAATTTATGTGCAAACGCGAGTACAAAGATTCTAGTTCAGATAATTTAAGGAAGTTTTCTGATGCTGTTAAGGAATTTTTGTTTGACCTTGTAGGGTTATTTTAATTTTATAAACAGTTTTAATTTTGAGTTAAACTTCTTTCCTATCAAATCTTTAACTTCAACTTACAACTTCCGGCCAGAACGTAGTTATAGAATCACGTCTGAATACTTAATGAGGAGGAGCGGTATTTAAAACATGAAGTTCTACTTGCTGGAGGAGAGAGAATCAGAGTTTCTGATTTGCGCATGTCTGTCTTTTGGCTACTCTCTCTCAAAGCTGTTATTACGCTTGACCGTACTCAGGCCCTTGATAAGCTTCGTAGTCATAGCCCTTGATAAGCTTCGTAGCAAAATAGAGTTAAGGGGCCAACTTGAGTAGAATCTCGATAGCTTCGGCTATATCTCTTTAGTTAATCTTAGTTTTAGTTTTTAGTCTCTTAAGTTCAAGCCCAAGTGTCGGCTTTTATTGTACACTCCAAGTCGGAGTTCTGTTAAATTTTATTGGGAATAATAAAGGGTTAGTTACCCTTCCATCTTGTTGTTTCTTGTCACACGAACTTAAGCGATTATTCGCTAACTAATTCTTAAGGTTACTCACTTTTGACTGCAAATACACAGTGGTAAACCTCACAACCTGAGAAAGGGAAATTTCTAAATAAGGTAAGTAGATATTTTCTGTGTGTAGTGCTAAGATGAATTTATGTTATTTGATTGCTCGATTTAAAATGTATTTTATTGAGATTATATATTTTTTATTTGGCTACTATAACTTTTTAAGTGAATCTAGATCAATGTGTACATGGACAAAGTCAAGGAAGTGCACAATACCAAGTTTGTGAAATTCTCCGATTTTTTTTAAAGTGAAAATAGGTCGATGTGCACATGGTTACTGAGTTTGTGCAATTCTTTGACTTGTTATTTTGTCTTTGTGTAGTAGGGATTTTTGGCACAAAAACTGCTGCTACACAAAGCCAAAATAACAACTCAATTGCACAAAAACTCGATATCCATGCACCACCAAAAATCACCAATTTTCACCAAGGGGCACCTGTAAATATATTTTTACCTTTATTTTTATCAAACTTATCTTGTGATAGGTAATACCCTGATTTATTTTTATTGAGCAATTTACTTGGTAACATAACAATGTTTATATATTCCACATTACATAAAATTAAATTATGAACTGTTTGTTATGGATAAAAATAACTCCCAAATATGTTGATAGCCAAAATAATAGTAATAATAATAACGGAAAAATTATAAAAACTCATGTAACTTGAATGATTTTGCAGTTAGGAGCATGGAGCTTGCAGAAGAGTTTTATTAGACATGCTGGTTAATCTTTGGAATATGGTAACAGGTAGTTGGGCGACATTTTGGTAAGGCAATAAAGGTTACTAGCTAGGACTTTAGCAGTGTACATGGATAAAGTCAAGAGTGTGCGCAATGCCATTTTTGTGCAATTCCGGGGATGTTTTTTTAAGTGAAAATAGGTCGACGTGTACATGGATGATCCCGTGTATGTGCAATTCTTAAAAACGTGGCAAGCAGTGGGCGATTCTGCGCCTTTCTCCCAATTTCGCACCTAATCTTCATCATGATTAAGCACTTTTGTTCCATAAAAGTTCTAGCATAAGCGTAATTCGGCTAGCAGATTGTTGGAAAAAAAATGTTAATTTAAAAAAAAAAAAAAAAAAAAAATGACTTTTAGTGAAAACAAAATGGCGTCCAAAAACAAACTAGCAGGTTGCTGTAGCAGGGTTGGTCGCCAAATGTTCGCCAAAAATCTCCAAGTTACCATAATCCAAAGATTAACCGACATGCCTTATATATTTTCAAAATGCAATACTGCCTGTTCCTGCAAAAAATAAATTTTAATAAGAACATATGAAATGTGCTATAAAGTGAAATAAGGTAAAGTTGATGTTACAACTTTTTACAAATACATAGGAAAAAGGTTCTTCCTGATTATTGGCAATCCCTCACCAAAAAAGCATTCACGAGGCAATGCCCTGTAACCGAAAAATATTTATCTGGCAACCCAGGTATGCAATGCAGCCCTCCAAATTCAATTTTCTGATTAGCATTTGTTTTCATTGAGCACCTTTTTGTTTTCTTATATTGAATCTTAATAGAACTAAGGAATTTGTCGGCTGATGAAAAAAAGAAAGCAGTGCATTTCTTCAGAAATATGGCATTTTCTTGAACAATAAAGAATGCAAAAATACATTTTCTATGAATATGTACTCCTTAAAGAACAACATTTTATTGAAATGGGATGTGGAAAATTGCAGGCATTTCATCCAACACTAAAGTCTGTGCAATTCTCTAATGTTTAAGCAAATATGCATAGCTCTTTTCCACAAAGAACAATCACATGCATAATGTTAAGTGTATATAATTCTTTAATGTTTTTTAAGCGAATAGATCACAGTGTACACAGAAAGGCAGCATGGAAAAAAAAAATTGCATTAAGATTTCTTGATTTTTTTTAAAAAAAGTCTTTTATTATGGATGTTTCTTGCTTTTTTTAATTGACTGCATTTTTAAGAAATCCTTTAGCGTGCTGCCATTCAGAAAATGGCTGATACTATTCACCAATCTGTTTGCAAAAAAATTAATAACCAAGTCCTTGGCAATATTTCAGCATGCAGGTGAGGATAATAAGAAAATACCCTAAATTAATGAATTGTGTGCTCACTGCAATACAAGCTTTACAGCAATTTTCTATGCTGTGTATGAAAATGCCTATGAATTCCTGTGGTAACAAGGTATATTTACAATGAATAGCACCTTGAATCTCCTAGATAGTGTTGGATAGGAATTGCAGTGATGCAAGTCACCATTTTCCATCCTCCCACGCATTCTATCTGATTTAATATATATAATAGAATACGTAAGCCACTTCATTCGCCCTCAGAATAATTGGTCACTAGTAAAACGTAATTGAGAGAAATATTATCATCCATTAGGAGAAAGTTATTACTGATTACACTCCTAAATATCTTGACATAAGCATCAAGAAACTTACTTCTGTATACTTCAGCATTCCCTGCTGCACTGGTATAAATACGTTGGTTCAGCGAGACCACTCAGAATGATGCCCACCCATATCATATAATTTCAACACCTTTGTACTCATGTTTTTATGCTTATGACATATGTTTTGCTGCCTCCAATTCTGTAAAAAAAAAAAAAAAAGAAAAGAAAAGAAAAGAAAGAAAAAAAAAAAAAGAAAGAAAGAGAGAGACTTATTAGTAAGCTTCCATCTGCAGTACTCCAATTACAATGATCTCAGTGTTATTGCTACTGGGTGCATTCTGTGGCCTAAGTCAGGAGCATTAGGTTTCTTTTGCAAACACCCTATCTTGTGCAGCTCATCAATTATGGCATACCTGGATAATGGAGTTCCTGTAACTGCAGCAAACTTCCCTGCAATCTGGGCTGATATCAGTTCTGTTTTTTTTTTTTAACAACTGTTATGAAATAATGGTTCTGAGACCCTGTTGTGACATGTTTCTGACCTTTATCTGACTGTCTGCATGTATCTCCACTATCATTAAACCATTTCTAGAACAGGCTACTTTCTGTCTGAACAGGATTGTGCGAGTGTTTGCCCAGCTTTCATTCTCACATTTCTAAATCCAATTGAATTGACTGATCTTAAACTACCAATCAATTACTTTATAGAATATAAAAACAGCTTAAGAATTATAAAGACTTGATAAATTTCATATAAAGAAATTTTGTGGGTAGCTGTTCCTTTAATTTTTTCCTCCAGTGCATTATAGTATCATCTGCTATTGATTGCAGTCATCCCACATATTCTACTTTTCAATTTATTTTTAAGATTCAGCAATTAACTTTTAATGGATAATTTTAAAATGCTTAAGTAATTATGGATTGCATACAGTTACATTACATACTGTTTCGAATAAACTCAATTCACAAATATCACCACATCATTCTATCACTGCTGTTACTCACACATTTTTCTTTTCTTTTTCTTCTGACAATTTTATTTTACATTAATGTTTTGTAAGTGATTTTGACAGCATTTCCCAATAAACAAACTTTTTTTTTAGATAAGGGCTGGTTAATCCTTCTCCGGATAGTCGGGATTTGACTGAGTATTTGACAAAATGCATAAATGTTAATAGTACTGCATCAAAAATACAATATTATTCAAACAAGCATTACAACGCGAATACTTGTAGTGCAGTCTACAGTACGCTAGAAATAAGTATTGCAATACATTTCAATACAACTCCATAACATACACGGTATTAATATGTAAATTTGTGAAACAGATACACGATGCCCCCTTCCCTCCGAAAAAAAAACGCAAATTTCGTATAGAGAGTAAAGTATACTACAAATTTAAGATTTCAATTCTCTAATATTTTGTAATACACTACTTCTTAGTCTTAAAAGCATTTGCCTATACTTGACTTGTGTGAAGCCTTCTTAGAGGTAAACAGGTACTAAAAAAGATAATTTGAAATATTAGAGGCTCTTAATTTGAGAACATAAAAAAAGGTACGGCAAAATTTTCTTAACTATATTTAGAGAGAACAAAAGTATCATGTACACTCTATTAACAATAATGTAAAACATAAAAACAAGGCTGCAATAAATAAAATATATTCATATCCTTACTGTAAGAAAATAATGTTCCAAAGATAATCCACCCAAACATTTTTGTAAACAAAACATCAGCCACACCAAAGCATGCCACATAGTTGTTGCCATTTTTATGAGAAAGTTTAACTTACACATCATAGAAAACGTCTATCGCAGAAAACATTTGTCGGACCCCACTCTGAAGTTCGACTGCAGTGATATTTGCCAGTTCGTCAGAGAATTTATCCTTAGTTAAAGATTAAAATATAACACAAATCAACGAACAAAGCAGTAACTCTGTTTTAATATACGATGGAGGCATTAAAAAGCAGTTCTATAATTCCGATACGGCACAAATCACTACCTTATTTTTAATAGTTAAAGATTTTGCACCCCCTCCTGTTTGTCAAGAATGGAAAACATTCTATTCCAGGATTTGGTAACATAAATTTAGCGCCTCCAATTAGGCTGCACCCCGGGCAAGGTAGCCCCCTCTCTCTCGCCCCCCCTCTAGCTACGCCATTGAACTTATTCTAACTGTTTGGTTCGAACATTAACTATTATTTAAAAAAATCATCTATCATGCATTTTTATCTTTGTAAAAAAACTTAACTTAGATACTTAGTTGTAATATACTGGGTTTCTACTGCACTGCGGCAGTACTTCCCAGTAACATGAGAGATATCCCGAAGGAACATAGCTTTGAAGGAAAATCAGTTAGGTCCTGTAGCAGGAAAAATCAGAAGAGGCTAGAACGAAAAGAGAAGAGCGATACAAAGTCCTTGCACGTGCCGCCATCTGGTGGCGGTGAATGTGGTAGGAGAAAACCTGGGTTTCAGTCTGCAGAAAGCTGGCCTCAGGAGCTGGCGAATCAGGAGGCAGATTGGTGCTTGAGACTACTTCTCGGACCTGGGAGAGGACCTGGGAGGACCTCGGACCCTATCGTCAATATGGCGGTGATGTGACAGAGTTGGAAGCGTTGGCGGGTGATGAAAAAAGAAGAAATTAATACTTGCTAAAATAATGCAGGTAAAAATTTAGAATTGACATCAAAATTGTTACTATAGTCCTGTATGTCAATTTAAGTCATGTGCAGATGAAGTGGTAATATTTTCACAAAAACAATACGGCTGCGCCTCGAACCGGTGAACTCTTGGATTGTAGGCACGCACTTTAATGCAGGACTAGGCTTCTGTTGAGAGAGCTTGTAGAAAAATGAAATTGTTCCATATGCGAAAGATGATTTCCTGTAGATAAGAGTCCAGATGAAGTTAGATATTCGCGTTGATCATATTGATGATATGTGCAGCGTATGGTCTGTTAAAATAGTCTTCTTCAAGAATTTCATATGCCAGAATGTCCAAAAGATTTGCATGAGCGTTTGCGATAGCTTTTTCGAAAAAATTTGAATTAAGTCTATTTATATAAAGTCCTGAATATATTCAATACGAAGATCATGATGGAAATTTTTATTTCGAATGAAGTAGGGTGCTCCAGTAAATAACCTGAGAAACTTCTTTTGGACTATTTGTAGTTTATCTATTTCTGATTTTGTGGCGTTTGCCCATACAGGGGAAGCGTAGGTGAGGATCGGACGAATTATTGAGGTGAAAATTCTCTTCTTTTTTGAGAGCAACAGGCCAGAGGTGTCGGAAAGAAGGCAGTACAGTTTTCTTATAATTCTGAATGTTTTACCTTTGATCTCGTTGATATGGTTGGAACAGGTGAATGCTCTATTGAAAGTGATGCCTAGGTATTTTGCCTTGGTTACTATGGGGATCCGTTGGCCAAAGAGAGAAACCGAATTGGTGATTTTATCCTTATGTCTGTATTATCGGATGAGTAGTATTTCTGATTTTTTAGGATTGATATTCGTTCTCCAGTTAGTACACCATTTTTTCTTGGAGCTTGAGGATGGCATGATTTGGACTACGGGATTTTTTAATAAGAGCCGTGTCATCTGCGTAACAGGCGAGTAGAAAGTTGTGGTCCACTTCAAATTTTAGGAAGTCGTGAACGTAGATTAAATAAAATACTGGACCAAGGATACTTCCCTGAGCAATACCTCCTCGGATGGGGTGGGAGTTAGAGCTATAATCAGCTTGCTTCACAGAGAAAGTTCTTTGCTCCAGAAAAGATTTTAAAATGAGAATCAGTTCCCGTGGGATTTTTTGTTGAATTAGTTTGTAGATGAGCCCCTCATGCCAAACGCGGTCAAAAGCTTTGGCCTCGTCTAACATGAGGAAGGCAACGCTGAGTTTATTATTAACTGCAGATCCAATAAATTCTGAAATTCTAACCAGCTGATGCACTGTAGAAAGTTCCATATTGTTGGTTAGGCAAGAAATATAAGTATGGCTGGAGGCGGTTAAGGATGATTTTTTCAAGGATTTTTCCAGGGAGGATCCGATTCGAATAAGTATTGCTGGAGTAGCGCTGTTTCCAGCTCATGAAGAGAAGCCTGTAGGCACATGACAATAGTAAGTCTGATGTGGTAGGTGTTGAGATAATGAGGTGATGGCAGAATGGGGCGAGCAAGATGCCGCAAGCCAAGGAACTAGGCCAGACAAGAAGACGCGCTGCAGACGGAGCAGTGCAAGGTAAAGCAATCATGAGTTTTTATGTTGAGATACTGTGAAAGCATACTATATGACATAATGAGTTTGTACGAATACAAACTCTCAAAAGTATTGTTATATTTTACAAACAACAGTGGCACGCCAACTGTGTCTACTTTGAAGCTAGATCAAGCTTCTGTATATCCATGTAACATCAACTGAAACATGTAGATAGCAAGTCTAGTAATAAACCGCAGACCTTTTGTAAAGCATGCATCTAAGTCTGGTGTTAAGTATGGCACGGATTTCTTGCAAAAAAGGATATCACTATTAAGGTAAATATTTGTTTTACATTATTGTAATTTGAGATATTTGTTTTACATTATTATAATTTGAGATATTTGTTTTATATTTCAAACAGACAGATTTCAAAAGAATTTGCATAAAGTATTTATCATAGCCTTTTGGGACATTAGTTGCCTTTTTTTTTTAATTTGTACGATTTAGTCGGAATAAATTTATACAGATTTATCGTTTTCTAGTTCTTCTTAGGTTACAGAGCTCATCTACGACTGAATGACTAAACCGGGAAACTGGTAGTTTTCTTGGCGTCCCTTAAAAGTAATTTTATTACCAGTGTCAAACGAATTAACTACATGAATTCAGGATATTAGTATAAATTCCAATTTAAATCCATAGTATGATTGATATGAAAAAGGCGCACGTGAATGCAGAATATAAAATTAGCGAATTGGAAAACCTTATACTTTCAGGGATTTTATATAAAACTCTACGGATTTCAAGGGTGACTGACATAAGATCTTCTGCTTCAAGGAACCAAAAATTTCATACTTATGATAAAGCAAAGGCCAAGTAAATTAAAAAGACTGAATTAAGTAATAGGGTTAATAACAAAATGAATACACTGCCATATAGCAATCAAAATAGAAATTAAAAGAAATAAATTAAAGAGATTAAAATTTGAAAATTTCAAAAAGAAATGAATTTGAATTAATATTAACTAAAACAGAAAAACAGGTAAGTTTTCAAGAATATAAATGAGTAATTACATTCTTCCCATGTTTCATTGTTGAGTGTTATTTAACAACAAAATTTCTAACAATTTTAACAAAAAATTAAAGCAATCTGAGAGTTTTAGATTTCAAGTTAAAAAAGACCACAGAACAGATTTAAAGCTTTAAAAAGTTAAAGAAATAACCATACACTTCCAAAAAAACTAATTTTTTAAAAGTTAGTCTTTTAAAATAGTTAGTTTAGTCTTGTCCACTTAATAATAAATAATAAGGTAACAGACTTGTGCAACACTAATATAAATAATCTCGAGCATTTATTTAATAAAGGAAAGTTATTCAAGTCATAGCTGTTCATTTATGTTACTGCATTACCTGCACAGGAGGCTGGCAATAAATATTTTCTACATAGAGCCAAGATACAAAATTGGCTAAATGAATAAATACCTTTTGCAGGTGAGGTATTTTAAATGCATATCAATTGGATCTTGATTTATGATACAAAATCCTGGCAGCTGCATTCTGACCATAAGGAATCTTGTAGTTGTATTCTATACATAACATAAGTACAAGTTCGCTACTCTATGTATTGATAAAATTTAGCAGCAGCATATATATTGCAGATCTCTTTTTGCATGATTTTTTTTGTAATATATTTTTTAATTTAAAACCTTTTTAATAGCTAAATTTTTTGAGCTGACAATCAGAAGTTCTCATACTGAGAATTAGTTTCTTTTTAACACATAACCTAAGATTTAAAAAAGAAATTGATTTGAAATTATAAATCTCTTAATGTACTCAGCTGAGTTAATTTAATAGTACATGGAACTAACTTATTTCTGTGCACATTCAAGAATTTTTTTTTTTTTTTTAGATATGAATACAACAGAACATATCTGTCAGTTTTGAGTTAAATGAAGAATAAAAAATTTTAGTGGGGAAAAAGAACATTTACTGAATTTTTATTGGTGCATTCAGGGGTTAAAGAGAAATTAACTCAAGACTGCAAATTAATATTTTTTAAATCTTTTTAAATTTCAACTGGGAGCTAATTTTCTTTGCTGAGAGATACTGGTCACTAAGAACTAGTCAGTCATTTTAGGGAGTTGATAGCCTCAACACATTCATATATTCACTGCTGGCTTTTGTAATATATAGTTTTACATATTTTAAATGATACATATATGATAACTACTAATTCACTAACATTTCAAACTTTAAAAAAAAGTTCGATGAATTATGATAGCTATTTTGATTTGCTTAAATTCTTTTCACATATATTGATACTTTTCTTTCAACCCATACTAACCAGCTTTATTCCTATATTAAATTCAAATTCTTAAATCTTTGATTGGCAGATGATCTTAAGTGGCAAACTGTATTCACAATTGAATGAAATTTTTATAAGAATTTATTTTTCTGGAAAATCCTCAAGTATTTTTCTGATATCTTAACTATTTTATTATATACAGTTTTAAAAAAATAATAACCAAAGTTTTTAAAGACTTGAAAGATTTTAGCACATTATTAAAGAAATTATTTAAAAAAATAGATTAGAAGTTCTCCATGTGAAATATTTTTTTTGGCACCAAGTTTAAAATTAGTGTCAAATTTTAAATGTAACTAACTCAGAAATGAATGGTATGATATTTTCCTAAATTTGGTATTTAATGCATAATTTGAAGCAAAAAAATCAAATTATGTGAAAACATCAACATGTTGTTTGAGACTTTTGTGGTAAAATACACGCAAGAGAACAGTGCTTTAGATACATCTAACATATATCCTAAGCCACCTTTTTGAATACAAAAAATGTAAACTTAATATTGTCAGTTTCGCCAGTCAGCCGATTGATTACACTAAGAGATATAGAATAGTCCCTTTCTTTTTTGAAAACTCACTGTGCAAGTAAAAATTAGCTCCTGTTAACATTTGTTACTTTTTTCTTTAGTTTCAACTGTCTTATTTTTAGTTGGCCAATAAGACAAACCTAACTTTCGAAATATTCATTATTAAGAAATTCAGGTTTCAATTTCAACAATAATGAATGAAAATATTACATAAATTGTCGTGAAACTTTAGGAAGTAATTACATGTAATTTTAATATGCTTATTTCAAAATACTTTCAAACAGTAATCTATAAAATACTTAATTAAAAAAGTTAATGACTTTTATTTAAAATCTATACAGAAAATATAAATTGGCTCATTTTATATAGATTTAACAAAAGTTTTGAACAAATAATATCTACATTATGCAGAAAAAATACTTTGACTCGTATATAAAAAAATGCATTAAAATGCTACAAAGTTATTCAGACAGAAATTGTTAGATAATATGTTATTTAAATATACATAAAATAGTAACAATAATATAAAAAATATATAATTAATCTCAAGAAAAATTTATGGCAATAAAAGCAGTTCTTAAACTTCACACTAATAATTTTTGGTGCTTATACATTCAATGCTTTATACTTCCAACACTATGTGCATATTATTCTAAAGATATTTCCATCTTTAGAATAATATGCATATATATTTTAAAGATATATGCATATTCTTTCAATTATAACAGCACTTGAACATTGAAAATTTATTAATTTTTAGAGCACTTTCAAGGAAGCAACATTGAACGACGGAATCTTTTTGGAAGCAGTAGATTTCAAAGATATTCTAGCTCTTTGTTCATTTAAAAATTATTCTATGCAATTGCAGTTCTTTATTACTACAGTGCTATAATATAATGCCCTAAACACAAATCTAAAACATACACACACACACACACACACACACCAAAAAAAAAAAAAAAAAAAAAAAAAAAAATATCACTTCTTTCAGTTTAAAAGAGTAATAATTACAAAGCAGCTTTACAAACATAAGTGTGCATACAATATCAAACTGTAAGATGAAATACGACAGTTAACTTATTTAATATTTAACCAGAACAAACTGGAAATAGTTGATGGAAATTAAAACTCAATAGCCTGTGAAACATACTGAAAAGATATTAGAATTACAAGATAATATCAGAGTATTTTTAAAAATGACACGTTTCCAAGCAATTTCAGTAGTAAGAAATATTATGACTGAAAAAGTTCTTTCAAACTTAAACCACACATTTCATTAACGTGAAAGATATAAATCCTCTTATCGATAAAAATTACATTAATTATAATATAACTTTTTTAGTCTAATATAATGCTGTGCACTATTAAAAAATATCAGAACAATTTAATTGAGTTGCCTTTTTTTTTTTCTTTTTTAAGAAGCTGTTTACAAAAACAAAAACAAATTGAATTTAAAATAGGTTTTCAAAATTAATTCATTGCTACTATGGAAAATACTTGAAAAAATACATAGCAGTAATTAAAATATAGATGGTTCTCGGATAGAACATCCAAAAGCCTAATTCATTTAAGAGCATATAGAATAATATCAAATTCTAAAAAATTTCCAATTTCTGTTGTATTATTTTTATTTAATTCCCATTTCCAGAAACAAGATCCCATTGCATTGGCATTATGACTGCAGCAAAAAATAGTAAACACATTCATTTACTAAAAATATTTTTTTATAATACATGAGATCAATTTTTTAAACAAAAAGGCACATAATTACAAAAGTTAAGTTACATATTATTCACTGTACATGTCAAATATTTTTGGCATCCATTAAGAGTCAGAATATGTATTCAATATGTAAAAAATATAAGCAGTGAAAAAAAAATCAATACAATTTTAAAATGCTTAACATATATTTGTACATAAATTCCTAACAATAAATTTGTATTCAAATAACTTTTTGACATTTTGCATACTTGCAAAGATCATACACATTTTTGTTATTCCTCAATTTCAACAAGAAGATCATTTCCTTCAAGTTTCATATTAGGTTCAACATATATTTTCTTTATAATTCCAGAAACTGGGGCTTGAACAACCATTTCCATTTTCATGGCACTAAGAATAATCATTGCATCTCCTTTTTCAACTTTCTTTCCTTCTTCGACCTTAATTTCAATGACTGAGCCAGGCATTGGGGCACCAACAGAACCTTTTTTATTTTTATCGGCTTTTGGTCGCACATGAATCTCCTATTGAAAAAAAAAAAAAAGTTTAAATATATGTTTTGCATGTAAATTTCACTTCATTAAACCTCTCTGTGGCATAGGACTGCTTTAACTTTTTAAAAAAATTTTGCTTATGAGATATGCTACCACTAAGTATTTAAAATATGTTACTTTCTTATTTTTTAAAATGATCAAAATATTATTCTAATGAATGAAAGGTTATGGAACTAAAGAGTAAAATAAATAGTTATATAACATTAGTTAGCAAATACAGTTCTTTATGAGCAGATAAAAAAAAAATACATATCAGATAATAAGAAATTTTCTCTCCCTCTTAAAAACTGATAAAATATACTCTTTTATCTTTTCAGTACTATCAAGAACATTATGGCCAATACAAGAAGCTGCAAATTCTGTTTAATTTCAGTAGATATCATAATTGAATAAATAGTATTTTTAATAGTCTAAAAAATTTTCAAGACTTTCTAATAAAATTCACAGACAAAGTAGAGCTAATGTTTTTTAATTGCTTTTTGATAAAACTGATACTGTGCATTTTTTACATTAGCACAACTCAAGCCATAAAATAAGGGAAAATCTTATACCTCTGGATTTGCCTTAGCTAACAATAAGTTAGATAAAGCATTTAAAAGAACAGATTCATATTACTGAGTGAATTTATACTGATTTCAGAACACAGAATTGTAGTTCTATCACAGTTCATGGAGATATCTTGTTGCAAAGCGTACCAAGAACAGAGATCTTCTATTTGTTCATGAAATGATTCACTTTACTGAGAGAGTTGCAACTGATTTGTAAAAAAAGAAGGTCTTGTCAGAAGTGTGATAGGACAGTTCTATTTCTATTTTAGGGAAGAAAAGAATGTGTATTCTTCTATGTTAAAATGACTCTAAATTTTACAACTTAAAAACTTTTTGAAAAATTTTTATTCTACATTTTTATTGTCAGAAACATAATATTTAGTTCAAACATACTAAATTATTGTTGGTTCTGTGTAGAAAGGATGTTTTAGGGAATCTAAACTTTATAGTTGAACATCAGTTTAGAGAGTTAGCATTTGATTGAGTTGATTCTTTTGATCCCACTCCTTGTTTGATTCTTTTTTATCTTTGTCCTCGATAAACGGTTCTAATATCACTGTTCATTCAATTCCCCCCCCCCCCATTTTCCACTCCATCTTCACTAAGCGTTCACCTATCATCCCAAATCTTTTCATGAAGGTTATTGCTAGTGGAGAGTGAGTCATAAAGAAGAACCAGTTCATTTCAATGAGTGAACCGTTTTGATCCAATCCTATAAATGAATGGTTTTTCTAATCTCTACAATAAGTATAGGGATTTAACACAAAAATTGTTAAATCTAAGATTTTAAAAAATATTCATTATTTTAGTTCCCATTTTGAAAATTAAAAATATTTCCTAGATAGCTCAGGCACAATTTACAAGCATTTTCCAGAACCTATTTCTACACTTACATACAAATTAACTACCATAAGTTAAATAATGCAGAAATCTGGCAAATTTTTCCATTTGTACTACCACATAAATTTTGCTAAATAAGTAACATGCGATTTCCCGTTTTTAGTTATTTATTTATTTCTTAAATAGTGCCACTAAAATGCAATTTTTAAATTTGAATGTGCGATAAAATAAGAGAAAAGAAATGATTTTTTAGCTAATTAAAAGTGGTAGATTACATACTACATGATTACATAACTTTAGCTTTCTTGGGTGCATTTTAAATTATACTTTAAGTCACAAAATCATAATTAAAAGGAACAATGAAGTTCAAAAATATGAATAAAAATAAATTTCTTTAAATTAAAATTTTTATACAGGCACTGCATTTTTAAATTAATAAAACATGGTTTCTTGATATAGTTTAATATAAAAACTAAATGAAAATCAATTCATATCACAAATAGTCTTAACTAAAGCAGAAATTTACAAACCACATACATATTTTTAAAAAATTTTATTTTGGAGAAAATGTTAAAGAAATACCCTTACTTTTTGTTCCAGATTCATAATTAATAATAAACATCTGAAGTTTTAATTATAAAAAGAGGAGCAGGCTTATATTACTGAAAAATTAAGAATTTTAAAATAATATTCTAACAGAAACAAAAGATGATACAGATTTGTTTTTATTAATCTATAGAACATGATACATATAAACTTCACTGATATATGAAATCAATTCTTACCATTTGAAATATAAAAAGACATAACAAATTGAATTCAGAAATCCAATCACAGTAACTCCTGATTAACTGCAGTATTACTAAGAATGATGTGTACAGTTTACTAAAATGATGATTAATCAAACAGGAGTTAAAACAGGTAAAAACAGAAGAATAACCCATTTATAATTAACACAAAAATGTTATTAAGAATTTATTTGCATTTTTAAGCAGTTCAATTTGAAGAACAATTTTATTTCATTATGCAAGAAAATCAACATTGAAACAAGAACACACTTCAAAAGAGAAAGCACAATTTAAAAAGTATGATTACTCTTTATGTATATATATATATATTATATATTATTATACACATAAAGAGTATATATATATATATATTTCAATCAGAATCAACAGAAAGTAGAAGATTAATAGCTACATACTTAACTTATTTTTAAGATTTAGCAATTTATTTTTAACAAGTGATTAAACAATGCATATATATTCTAGAATATGTACAATTAAATTACACACTACTATGAATGGAAACAATTCCTAAATACTGTCACATCATCTGCCACCACCACAGTTATCTGCTATATTTTCTTTTTCCTCTGGTATTTCCCATGGAAATTTTGCTTTATTCAGTTTTGCGACACTAATTTTTCCATCATTTAATAATAATCAAACTTAGCTTTTTTAGGCAAGGTACAATTAATCTGCCCCTATTTAATTAGGTATATAGAAGTAAACTATTTTTATTAAAAAAAATTCTTTACGAGAGACAAAAGAAGTCACACAACCAAACTTGCTGTCAATATTAATGTGCAGCAGAAACAGCTATTCAGAAGGGATTTCTTGATGGTTATGTGAATCCATATTTCAAACAGAATAGTAAATCACTAGAAGAAATCTCAAACTGCTTACGATATAAAGTACCCCTCCAGAATATATTTCCTCCATAATGCAAAATTTTACTTTTCTTGGGATTAATTAACCCTTTCGCGATGGCACACCTTTGTTTATGATGCTCGTGCGGGACGGAAGGGAATCGAAGGCAGTCACTGTACAGGACGGAGGTTTTGCATCGCTAAGCCTAATTTTATAATAAAAAATCAGAAAAAAAAAAAAAAAAAAAAAAAGAAGTTTCACTTCTAGCATTGTAATTTTTGGTATCATTTTAGATTATTACTTGAGCTCATATATGTTAAATTTAGCATTTAATAACTTTTTTTCTTTATTTTACATGAAAATATATTTAAAAAATCGCTTACCTCGTAAAGTAATTTTCGGGAGCGCTATTCAAATTATTCCAAAGTTTTAATTTGATAAAATCCATAAATAAAGTTTAAATTAATAAACAACACTATAACGACTATTTACAGTACAAAGTAACACAATTTAAAATGAAGACTGAGTGTGGTACATCTCTAAGCACAGAGAAGTATAACTTTCTAACTCTTAGAAAAAGTATCACTTTCTAACTCTTTAGAAAATTAATCCACACTCTTATCTGTGCTAGTAAATGGTTCCTTAACCATATGAGGGTATTCTTCCTCTAACAAATAGCGCCTTCCTGCCATAGGTGGTGAGGCTTTCCGAAATAAAAAGAGAAGAAACAGAAATATATCTGAAGGCAATGTAAACAAAAAAAAAAAAAAAAAAAAAAAACTCCACATAGTAACCCTAAAAGACCATATATAGTAGAGGGGGAAAAAAGAATAGAAAAAGGAATCGGATATAAATCAGAGACGCGAATGTTTATATTAGCACGCATCGATTTAAGAGCCCACCTTTGTTTACGCTTTCCCTCCCCCCCACCTTCACAACAGTTGATGAGTAAAATACCAAAGTCAGGCAAAATATATCAAACTCAAGGTCAGGAACCTAAAACTGTGTTCATTTCAAAAGTAATGGGCATAAGACGCCATCTAGTAGCCTTCAGAAAAACGTTCCAGCTTAAAATGCGTATACGCATCACCTGCCCTCTGAATGCAATCTCTAGTAATGCGTGGATGGGACCCCCGGCTGTAAATGACATTTTTAAGGAATTCGTATATGGTACGCCCGTCCTGAAAAGCTTAAAGAATATAATTTTTTCATTTTCAGTTAACAAGGATAAGTGTCCACTGCAGATAATTTATATAATTTTATTTTCAGATAATTACTCTTTACCCGAATCAAGTGAATAACATTATTATTGATAATGTTTTTACATGAAATGATCAAGTTTACTTTTTACTCATGTAGATATTCTCTGGCACTGTATGGCAAAAGATTATTCTTTCTTGAACTTTTTTTTGTAAATAAAATTGATGTATGAGATGACACAACTAGTAAAAGCATTTTGTAAAATGGTAATGGGTTTTGATATGTTTGAAATTTTTGTTAGAGTATGACATTAATATTTGTCACTGTGCTATTTTATTCTACTAAAGGTCCATGTCAAAGAACTTTATGCTAAACATTTAAAGAGCAATTACAAATAATGTTCAAGGAATAGAGAAAGTGCACAATTTCGCTACTCTGACAAATGCTGCTGAAAATAAAATCCAGAGAACTAAACTTGCAGCACTTTCTTCTAGGAATGCAGGGGTTATTTTAAGTTAAAGAGAAGAGCTATATTTAGAACACTCTGTCAGTAATAGCACAAGTGATGGTTGAAACAAAAGAAAAACTATGTGATTGAATGTAAGGTCATAAAAGAAGAGTGTAAAAAAACTTTAGTTTCCAATCTAAAAGCTAAACAGTATAAGAAATAAAAGTGAATTTTAATTAAAAACTTGCACATGAAAAGAAAAACCTTTAAGCAAGTTTTTACACCCCAGCCTCCACATCATCAATATCTCATAGTTTTATTTTATTAACATCAACAAAAAAGTTCTAACTTAAAATTTTTAATTTTATTAAAAAGTATAGGTAATTTTTTTCTCTATATTTTAGATTAGCAATTAAATGTCTATTACCTCTTTAACAGATTTATCTCGTATGAAAACAGATCGCAGTTGTCCATTCAGTTCAAAAAATACTTCCCTTTCACCAGCACTATTTTTGCCTTCAGAAACTGCTAAAGTTTTTATGTGCAATGTCTTTCCCTTTTCAATATTAACCTAAGAAATGGAATTTTGGAACATTAACAATATATTTTCTTAATTAATTAAAATACATAAATTCAATTACATTCTTAGAATTATAAGTCTCAATATGTGGAGAATTAACACAAAGTAATGCTGCAAATTACATAATACAGTCGAAAGTCTTTAATCCAGACTCGTCGGAACTTCAGCGATTCCGGATTAACGGTTTTTCTGGATTATAGATCATCAGTTTAAATCTGGTAAGATGGCACGCAGAAATTATAAAATTAAAAATATGAAACCGTAATTTATGAAATAAAGAGCAATTATGATCTAATAGGTATCAAATTTACAAACAAACAAAAAAAAAAAAAAAAAAAAAAAAAAAAAAAAGAAGCTTTATATTTATTTGTTTATTTTATTAAACATTTCTTTCAACGCGCGCATGCATAAAGCATACATTACTCATAGTCGAAATTTAAAAATTGAAACCAGAAAACTATTTGATGTGTATTTGTGATATTTCTAATGACAAGGAATTTGATTTAAATCATATCAAAGACAGAGTACATTGAGATGAAATACTACATTTAGTAAGGAATTATAAGCCAAATAAAATAAAAACATCTGCCCTGAAGATAAGGATAGTGCTGACAGATCAACTTCCAGTTCATTGCGCGCCGCGTCGTTCGTTTGAATAATGTAGTCTTCCTATTGGCATCTGAAAGCCCAAATTTGGAATTTGTTTTATTATCTATTTCATATTTTGTCAAACTTTAAAGAATTTTTGATTAATAAACTCAATGATTTCAGAACAAGCGATGGCAACACTGTATGGGGGGGGAATTATCTCCAGCATGCGAGACTGTGTTTTGGAAATTCTAAAGATATGCTCTTTAAAAATTATTTTGTGATATTTCTGTTGAATTAAATTTTATGGTTTAAATGTGAAGAACATGATAAATAAATAGAGGTAACACACAAAATACACACACAAAAAAAGGCCCTTTTGGTGTAATATAAGGCTTTTTTTTTTTTTTTCTTTCCCTGAAGGCTTTTACATTATATATATATATATATATATATATATTTTTTTTACTAGTGAGCACATGAAAATGAAGTATTCATTCATAGAAATCATGATTTTTGATAACATTAGCAAGCATGGCGCACAAGCTTGATCTCACCATTTTCATCCAAATTCTGCAAATTAAGAGGATTTTTAAAATAAATATGTATAGACTAGGAGAGCTCACAACTCTCAAATTAAGTGAGAAATCTAAGGCTAAAACAACATTACTATGAATTGAATTTCTTCTTTCAAAACAAGTATCAGTAGTCTTGTGATTAACATTAGGAATTACTAATCAGAATTTCTTAGTTTGAACCTAGGTTTGCCATTGTTTTTAACTTTAATGCTATTTTATTTTAAAGGAAATTTCATTCCTGAAAATTATTTTTAATCAAATGATTAAAAAAATTAAGAATTTTTTTTTTTTCGCAAAAAGCAATTTTTCATTTATTTCATTCGAACTGACTGTACTTTTCCATAAATTTATTTATGACTGATACACACTTATGCAAAAAAGTTAAAATATTAAATATTTGTATATCAGGTACATGAAATAAATTGTAATTTTATTGCAATTTTGAATTTTGGTAGCAATATTGTAAATCATGAAACTATAAACATACATATTATGAATAAAAATTTAAATTACAATAAATCATCTTTTATTAAATGCCTTTTACAAAGCCTGAATTTAATATACTGTTGCATGCATACAGATTCATAACAGGCTGAATGCAAACAGAACTGATGATAGCTTGATAAAATTTATTATTTTACCAAAAGAAACATTTCATAGTTCTGGAAATTTATTAAAAAAAGTACTTGTACAACTCTCCATAGTATCACAGATTACAACCAGTAGTTACACTTCAAACTATGAAGAACAATAAATACAACACATTGTAAAGCACATCTGCAGGCCCGCGCCATGCCTAATCGGAGCAATCGTTCAAATGTCTAGCAAGCGCCTTTATGTAGTGACAATATTAAAGGGACATTACTTACAGTTAACACTTGAAGCATTATTAACATAATAATATGAAAAACCAAAAAAATCCCAGAGAAGACATGAATGTTTGTAAGTGTATAGTGTCTGTGCGGCATGGGGGCATTCTAAATATTTGAGGCAAAAGTCCTCTCTAAAGGTTGGTGGTAAGGGATGAGGAGACCCTCGGACCCGTCACCCCGGGGTGCTTTCCATCAAAATTGCGGCCGAAACTGAGTTAATCGCACTGTCACCTGTAAGGTGCTCAAGAGTGTTGACAACGACAGGTGTATCTTGCGCTCCTTGCCACAGAGAATTTCGTGGGCATGGGCTGACTATAGGTCAGACAAGTGAGCATTAATCAACAACAACAACAACATGTTATAGAAAGTAATACTGCAAGCAAAACGAAATTAATATACTAAACTCATTGGATACCAACTATTTTGCTGAACACTATTTATTATCTTAAAATTAAAAACAAATTAATAGACATATCTAATTAATACTAGAAAGCCTAGCGGTCATACAAAATGAATGCTGTTTTAGATATTATAAATTGTAATTAAAATGATTTGTGCAAAGGTGTTTGCTAATTCAAACTGAATTACCCAGGGCAGGCAGTAATGGCAGGCAGGCCTTTGCTTACTGCCCCACGGGGTTTCCTCCTTCTACTAGCTTAATTGCTTAAAGTAGAGTGCAATGAAATAAACCACTGGAGGTATATTTATTAAGAGCCACCGCTAGATCAATAAATAAAGGTGATTTAAATAATAAAATTTTAATTCGCATGTCAAAGATCTCTTTCTGCACAACATTTCTTGTGTAGATCTTTCTGTCATTTTTAAGCTCGCCTTGCAGATGACCATCAATTATTTTTAATTTTACGTCCGTTCTTTCACGAACTCTTGTACAGGCAATTAAAGTTGACCGTGTCCAAATGCAGGCTCAAGTAAAAAAATGCCAACACACTTAAGCGTTTGGTCCTGACACTTATTGATGGTCATAGCAAGAGCAAGTTTTACAGGAAATTGTCTATGCCTCAATTGAAACGGCAACCCTGTGCTGTGGCAACTTCACCCTATTGGCTAGTACAGTTATGAAAGCAACCAATAAATTATTCGCAACAAACAAACACTTAAGCTGCATATAATAAAGATATTCATTTATTTCACTTTATTTGTTTTTTCATCCTTACTGGTTTTTGTCGGTTGCATATTTCTGAATTCTATTATATACAGATTTTAAATTTATTTATTAAATGTTAAATTTATTTATTAAATGCACATGCTCTTGTATTTTTAATTTTTCCGACTTAGCTTTCTCGTAATATTCATTACACGCTGCAACTGCACGGGGTATAAAACAATTTACAGTTAAGCAAGCAACCAATAAACTATTGGCGACAAACACTTTAGCTGCACGCACGCACACACACACACACATATATATAAGAAGTTTGCACTGAATAAATTGTTGTATGCAGTGTAGTTTACAACAAGTTCCAAACTGTGATTACAACAGGGCACAAATAGTGCTCTAGGGCTGATATCTAGGAATATATCTAAAGTTCTTTTTTGCACACCCCTATAATGTTGACAAAGATATAGCATACAGTTTAACTGACAATGCTACATTTTCTCCAAAAGTTTGCAAAAACTGCAGTTCATGCATAAGATCTATACTGTTTATATCGCTTTGATTTTTATCAGTTAATGCTTTTTACAGTTTTTGACATAAGTTAAGCTGATCATGTAAATATACGTGAATGAAAATATGTGATGCCAATGCGTAAGGGTACAGGGTGCACTGTGGACGCATTTGACAAATTGCTTAGTTCTTATCTTGTGTCTACTGTTGCAATCGTAGTAATTTGTTGCAACATTTATGTTTTTGTTTTTTATTTAGTGATTGTTTGGTGTTATTGTTATTCTACATAAAAAAAAGGTAAATGTAGTTACATATTATGTTAAACTTAGGTTAGCTTTTTAATTCAGAAAACCGATATTTTGAACATAACTACTTGAATTTAATAAGCAAATGGTTTCTTAATAAACCATTTGCTTATTAAATTAAAATTATTTTTTTCCAAGAAGAAAGGATTGACATATCTATGGAGTACCACTGAATTTAAAATATACCTATTTGAGATTTGAAGTGAAAAAATATACAAGGTATTTTGAAATCAAAAATTGGCCATTTTCCGATTTTTAGCTATTCGGAAAACCGAAGGAAAATGTTTCATCATTTCACTACATCTTAAATACATACTTTAAATTTAATTTATTTACTTTAATAAACAAAAGTATACCTCCATCTCCTTGAAATATTTGGTATTGACCTAAAAGTTCATATATTTTCCAAGATTTAGAGGTTTAACCGGGCGGAAGTCGCACCAAGAAAAGTTACTAGAGTGGGCGTGTGGGGTATCACATACCCCAATATTTAAAATATGATAAAAATAGTATTATTTAGTTTTAAAACTGTTTTTGTTTTGTGCTCGTGTATTATAAATACGTGAATAATAATTGGGTTTCAAAAAATTAATTTTCGAAACAATCTTACAGTTAAGATAAATGAAAATAATAAAAAAATAAACATCATGCCTCTAAGTTTCATCGCATCTCTAATACACCATGCTTATTTTATTTCTTCACACTTTGAACGAAATACATTCAAGTGTTCTTGGGACAGAATGTTTTCACATTTTAAACATTGCATTCACGTTCCTCTGTCCTTGGCCCGAGGGCAAAAAATTTATCACATCTTTTATACTTAGTTGTTTCGAATTTCATGTATTCGTTTTAATTCTTCATCGAAACTTCTGCTTTTGTTTGCATGCAGGAGTACGTCAAATTTTCAAAAAGTATTAATCTCTGATCTTTGTTTCAATACTTTTTTTTCATTAATTGTAATGCTAAGTCCTTCAAAAACAGACTTCTGTTTTCTGGTTGGTGGATTAGCAGTTGAATGTAA